GACTATAAGCCGTGACTTTTTTCCTGAACTTTGAACCATGCGGCTCATAGTAGGTACCGGCAGTCAAATTTACCTTTTTTTTGGGGGGGGGGGGGGTATTTTGAATTAATGAGCAAACATCTGGAGTTTGAACAGGAGCAAGTGAAATGTGTAAAAATTGTCTTAAAATGAGGATGAACTAAACATGTTCTGCATCTAATTCTAAAAGAATAATATGTACTCACAGAATTTGTTCGAGGAGGATTATTGTTGTTTTGTTTTGTTTTTATTGCTGAACGGTTAATTTGTTTATTTTATCCTTTTTTTTAAAAAAAGGGGGCAGATATTGTAGGATTTTTCTCTTCTTTCTGCTGCCTTGCATTTTATTACCTCCGCCAAGGACGAGGTAATGTTTTTGGTCGCGTAGGTCTGTCTGTCCTTCTGTCTGTGGACAACAACTCAAAAATGTGTCGACAGATTGTCATGACATTTTTACCACATGTGGMTACTGGGCCAAGGAACACACCTTTAAATTTTGGTGATGTTCTGGATCACGATGTGGATACAGGAATTTTTTTCTTTTAACACTCTGAGACCGGCAAAGCTGTGATGCTTTCACAGGGTGTAGATTTCAAAGTGTCCAGCAGGTGGCACTGTAGGACTGGTGTGCTCCTTTGTAACTCTATTACAGGATGGGGGAAATTGGTCTTGGCGGAGGTTTGCACTCTCCGAGTGCTTCTAGTTTTGATATTGTATTTATTGAGTGTGAAATTAGTTTTATTTCATTTTAATAGGAAATTATTATTTATGTTTATTGTAAATTGAAGAATATTTTTCTTAGAATTTGTTTGTTTGTGAAAAAGGGGCAGAGATTATAAGATTCTTTCTTCTTCTGCTACCTTTCATTTATTTTAATTTATGATTTTGTTGTATGTTGAATTTATGTTGTTTTTAAATGAATAAACTTTAAACTAAAAAAACTAATTGGGTTAACAGGAAGCAGGTCAGTGAGAGGACTGCAGATTAAAAATGACACTTAAGAGAAATATAATCTCTCAGTAGTAAAGATGGGCAGAGGTTTACCAGTCTTTAAAATAAATGCATCAAAYCGGGAAAGACTTTGGAAATCTGTTGTCAAATGAGATGAAAAGACAAGAGTTTTGGATTGACTCAGGAACACTTCTACACATCATTAAACACAGTTTCCTCTTGTCATCCACAAATGCTACTTACAGCTCGATCATGCCATATGGGAACACCATGTGGGACCAGAGCTCATGGACTGAAGAAAGGTTCAAAACCATTCTGTGATCYGATAAATCAAAATGGAAATTTATTTTCGAAAACCTGTTCTTGTAAATGAAGAGGAGAAGGACCATACAGCCTGTTATTCATGTACAGTTCAAAAGCTTGCCTCTCCGATGGTATGGGGGTACATTAGTGTTTTTGGCATGGACAGCAATGTCTGGAAAGTCTCCATGGATGCAGAAAAGTATACACAAGTTTTAGAAGAGCATTGGATCCAGTTCAGATCACATACTTTTCAGGGAAGGCCTTGCAAATTTCAGTAAAACAATGCTAAACTAAGCTGTCTGTTACAACAGCAGGGCTTCACAGGTGCTGAACTTGCCTGTCTGCAGGTCAGACGTCTCACTCAGTGAAAACTTTTGGTGCATTATGAAATGAAAATTCTTGCAAAGAAGACGTGGAACTGTTGACAAACTAGAGTCCTCCATCAGACAACAGCTGGTCTCCTCAGTTCCTGAAGGGTTACAGTCCATTTTTTAAAGAAGGCCTTAATGAAAAGTAGGAGGCAGCAGATAAACTCAGGAAGTCCTTCAGTCCAGAAGGCAGGGGCGGTTCTAGGGGCGGGGCCACAGGGGCATTGGCCCCATCTGCAAGTAGGGGTCTCTGCAGACAAGTGGGCGTGTCACAAGGAAAGGCGATTCTAAAGCGACACACCTGATTTGACAGACTGTGTTAAAAGGACACACCTGACTGGACGAGCAAAAAAGGGGAGATACTGTACGGCACCACCTGATTGGACAAGAATAAAACGGGCGTTACTGTACGGCACCACTTTTTCTGGAGACCCCTGCTTGGGTCACATTTCTCCTGGTTAACCTTAATGTTGTGGTCAGGGTCAGGCTGTAAAGAGATCAAGTAGGGTCTAAAGATACTGTCATGTACGCCTCGTAGCCCACAGTGTTTATGCTTTAGACACGCCCACTTTTGTGACACGCCCACTTTGATTCCACAGATAACTCCTTCTCCCCATCTGAAAATTGATTGGCCCCCTGAAGTGCCCCTGTCCTGTCACTCATCTGTCCTTTGCCCAAAAGTGGTTGCAGTTCCACTTCCAAACACTAGTGGCGCTAATGAGTCAAATAGGAAAGTCCAGCATGAAGCAATTACACAAGTCTTTTTCAATTTGAAAAATCCTGCAGAAAAAGTTTGGATTTTCTCACGTGTGTTTGAGAGTACTTTGTTCATGTACAGTAAAAATGCATGTAAAATTGATAAGGAAAATTTACAGTTTGAGCTTTTACAAATGTCTCTGAACACGTGTGACTGATTAAATTTATACACCTTACAAAAACTGGGGATTTGTGTGCAAGCATGTTGAACAAGTACTTGGCCCCTCTATGAATACTGTGGCCCCTGATGGCCTCGTACACTGAAAAATCCTAGATCRGCCACTGCGAAAAGGGTCCAGCTGCAGCCTCGGCCAGTAAACGACCCCCAAACAATGACTAACCCTGACCATAACAAAGTAGTGGAAGTGTGTGTTTTGTAGCAGAAAAGGGGTGTGTTTTATAGTGACTGCAGCCGAGTGTGATTTCTTCAGCCTCTTTCTGTAACACTGTGTCTTCTGTCCAACACTGCCACAGCAGTGATGTCTGCTGATCAGATTACAAACAGCACCAGAACATAAAACTATTATTATTATTGCTGAACTCTCTCTAAAAGTCACATAGAAACCTTTAGGATGAATGAAGTTGTCCGTGTTTCTTTAAGACCGAGCTAAGAGCTGCTATAAATAATGTGTAAAAAATCCACTGACACTGAGACATTCGTTGATTTTATACAAGTGATTTAGTCTTTTGTTATGATGATCAAAAGACATTTTTCCTCAGAGCATCAGACCTCTGTGTCAGTATTTCTAATTGGGATCTCTCTGTGGAATGTGATTCACATTTTTCTGCTCCAACTGCTGATGAATGAAAGCATCTCAGTCATCAGGGAACACTGACTGAGCTCTGCACAGACGTGGGCTGTTTAAAGAAATTAAACTAAAACAATGTTTTATCTTTGCTTCTTTTCTCTGTTTTTATACATTTACTTTAATTTTGATCTGAATGACAGCTGTATACAGAACTAAATACTGAAAATGAAATCTTAATGTGTTGAGATCATTGGTAAACTTTGATGAAAGATTAGGTTTTTTTTAAGCAGTGAGTCTTTATTCATGTTTCTGATTATGGTTTCTCTGTTTCATTTATTTTCATTTCTGTCTTCTGTCATAAACAAATGACATTAGTCATGCTCTTTTGTTTTTAAAATGCATTAAACTATTTCTGTTCTGTTCATTTTCCTTTGATTTTGCATGTGAATGAATGTTCAGTCTGGTTGTTGTTGGGCTACAACACAATGGATTATGCAGAAAAATCCTCCATAAAATAGAATGATGCAATTATCTGAGTGTTTAGTAAAATATTTCACTGGCTGATCTTGAAACTTCTAGAAAACAATTCTTGGACGCACACTGATGTCAACCCAATTCAAAATGGCTGCCACTTAAACACACAAAT